CTTTCACAGTTGAAAATAATAATGAAGTCATAACACATTGTGCCAGGCACTATTCTGAGTTCTCTATGGATATGTGAATGTGCTCCATTGTCACGACAACCCCCTAAGGCAGCAGTCATTGCCCCTGTCCTCAGATGGGAAGGCAAACCACAGGGACAGCATAGGGAAAGCAGAGTGCCTGTCCCCAGGTTCACAGTGACCCTGCACTACAGCTGCTTCTCCAAGGAAAGAGATCAGTAGGGAAGCAGTAAGCGACTGGACATAGGCTTTTAGACCAGTGGTCCTCGCACTCTCCACACACTAGAATCTTGATGCCCAGGATGCGCAGGAGACCAGTTGAAGCTGAATTTCTGGGAGTGCAGCCCTGGCATCAGTATTTTTTTTAGCTCCAGGTGATTCTCATATGCAGTCCATGAGGCCGAATGCTTTCTGCCCCTCCTTACTAAAGTGATGATCATGGCCTGGAGCACTGGCATCCCGCAAGAGCTGGTTAGAAATGCAGGATTTCAGGCCCCTGTCCAGACCTGCTCAGTCAGAATCTGCATTTTTTCTTTCAGGGTGGGTGGAGTGTGGAGTTTTCCCAGGAAGGTGAATCAAGCCCCCAGGAGGCAACATATGGCTTTGGGTGTGTGGGGGATAGTTGTGCAGGTCAGGACGCGGAGGGCAGGTAGAGGATGGACTGGGCTGGGCTGAGCCAGAGTCTACATTTTAATATGGTCTCCTAGGTGATTTCCTTTGCACTAAATTTGAGAAGTATGGGTTTAGGGTTCAGGTATTCAAACTATCATTAGTCCACTTGGGCTTCGTTATAAGCATTAATTTTAGTCCTTAATGAGCAATCCCAAACTCCATCAAAGAGCTCAGAATCAATCTGATTTATTGGCCAAAAAAATGACCTCAGAGGAAACCGTGCTCTTTTATTTCCACTGTGTGGAGAACTGAGGAAAAGAAGATACAGTTAATCCTTGAACAACATGGGTTTGAACTACGTGGATCCACTTATGCATGGATTTTTTCAATAAATATATCAGAATCATTTTTCAATAAGTATATTGGATATTTGCAACTATTTTAGAAAACACCTTTTCTTAGCTTACTTTATTGTAAGAATACAGTACACAATTCATATAACATAGAAAATATGTGTTAATAGACTGTTTATGTTATCAGGAAGGCTTCCAGTCAACAGGAGACTATTAGTAATTAAGTTTTGGGGGGGAGTCAGAAGTAACACATGGATTTTCGACTGCACAGTGGGTAGGTGCCCCTAACTCCCACGTTGTTCAAGGTCTGTATTGTTAATGATGCCCAGCAGAACATAGATGAAGTCCTTTCCAGAACAGGCAGAAAAATCGCGCCAGGTCACTTTCTTCCTTCTGAGTCAGATTGAGCGACAAGGCATCTGGCCTCAGTCAGGCGATGGCCACACCTGGGCTCCCAAGCTGACTGGCGAGGAAAATCCTGCCCAAGAGGTGCCCAAGCTTTCAGGCCTCAGCTGCTCCCCCATGGCTTGTCTGTCATAGACCCGCAAATGGCACCAACATCCTTTTGTCTCAAGGTCTTGTTGATTTGTCTTTAGCTTTCTGACTCTATGAGAAACATTATCCATCTTTTAGTGTTTTCATTTATGTCATAGCCTTAGAATGCCACTTACTTCCCCTCGTCTCCGCCAAGTTCTTGAAACTGCTTCATAGAGTGTATAAGAATAAAATTTCTGTAGGCAGTAGTAGTTTTCAGACCCTCATCCACTCCCCACTGATGGTATCATCTCATCCCTGACCCCGAGACCGCGGTCAGCAGGACAGCCTGGCTTTTCTCTGTAGGTCAGTGGGAGGAAGAGAAAGAAAGTCTCAGGTGTGACTGGGCAACGTGGTTCATGGGCATTGAAGGCAGCTGTATGACCCTAGGAAATCACTTAGTCCCTCTGGACCTACTTTATGCCTCTAAGATGGAGGAAATTTCTATTTCACAGGATCGTCATGGGGATTAACTGAGCTGCTGATGTACACTGACATGACAAGGGATACAGTAGTTACCTATTGCTGTGTTAACACACGACCCCAGGCCCTAGCAGTTTAAATTTATTATCTCACAGTTTCTGTGGGGTGGGGAGTAGCTCAGCTGAGTGGTGCACACTCAGGGTCACTCATGAAGGTCTGACTGAGGCTGGAGGACCGGCTTCTAAGATGGCCCCTCACCCGGCTGTTGGCAGGATGCCACAGTTCCTGGCCACAGACCTCGCCATGAGGCTACATCCCCCAGAGTGAGTGCTTCAATAGAGCGAGCAAGGCAGAAGCCACATGTCTTTCACGACCTAGCCTCAGAAGTCTCATACTATTTCTACCGTATTCTGTTGAACACACAGACCAACTCTAATGCAATATGGGAGGGGACTACACGTGGGTGTGAATATCAGGAGGTGGAAGGACCGGGCTCCACCTTGAAGGCTGGCTTCCATAGTGTATATAACATTAATTCCTGCCCCCTTTTAACATGGCAGCCATACTCTTCCTCCTCTATTTCAGTCAACAAATATTCTGAAAAGGAAGACAACTGGATTGATTCAACTTTGTTCTTCTCGCACTAAATTACTTTGGCTGAGTTGGAAGCTTCCATCCTCACATCAGGCTGACAGTCATGACTCTGAAATGTGGAACTAGACTCAGAATTTATGCCAGTTCATCTGAAGGACATGAGGCCCACTGAAATGCCCCTCATTTTACTATTCTTTGGTCTTTGCCCACTTTCCCCTTGAAACAATCCATTCTATGCATTTTATTATGTGTTCAAGATGTCAAGTAGACAATCCCAAGTAGTGGCAAATATTCTGGCTGAAATTCCTCTCCTTGTTCTGGAATATCTGTGCTTGAATACAAATGATTTACTTTTGGATCCCTGATTGTGTGATTGTATAACTGTGAATTCATTTAAATAGTGGTGAGGTCACCATGGCTTTTTTCTTCACTCTGTAGTGGCAGGCTTTAACATCCAAGAAAGGAAAGGGCTACTTAATATCAAGTTCTCCAATACTAGCAAAGTAAAGACATAAAGAGGTCAAGAGAAGAGCCAGCCCTTCCCTTCAGTTTCTTTGGGCGATCTACTTGGTAGCCAAGGGTTTGTCATTTTTAAGCTGTGGTAAATAATAATGATGAATGGAAACACCTCCAGGGTATTGTTGTAGCAGATTCCTTGCTAGAGCCATGAACATGACCCATGAATGTGTTGGGTGGGTGGATGGATGGATGGATGGATGGATGGATGGATGGATGGATGGATAGATAAATTCTTCAGGTACAATATGACCAGGGCTGATACCCAGCTGGTAGTACCTGTATGGAGAAAGGGCCAAGGTCCATTCCCACTGGTCAAGCCTCCACTCTACTGGGATGGCACTCACACTGTAGCAGTCATTACAGATAGCATCTAGTCTTGGAGAACATGGCTTACAAAGAAATGTTTAGAACCCAATTGATACAGTTTACTGTTAAGACTAGTTAGAGCCTGCTTGGCTGGGAATCTGGAAGGAGTGGGACGTGATAGTCTCAGATCTGCAACAAGATGGGTCTTAGAACAATTATCAGAATTCCAAGTATATCAAACTGAGAATGAATGAATATAGTTTCTTTACTCAGGTAAATCTGGAGCTGAAACCTGGGAGCAATGAACGGGTACTAAGGGAGGAGAGACCAGGAGCAAGGGCTGGGTGGGTAGAGGCTTGCTGAAGCTGACAAGAATGGAAAAGGAGCAAGAGGGAGAAAGGTATCAAATTAAGCTGTGAGTGACAGAAAACCCAAAGCAACAAAGGCTTAAATGAATAGAACTTGATTCTGATTTTGGTAACAAAATCTGGCAGTGAGCCATGCATAGCTGGTAACAGCAGTTTCAGGATCATCAGGGATCCAGATTACTTCTATTTTGTTGCTTCACTGCCCTTGACATGTGGCTTCCACCTCATGGTCAAAGATGGCAGCTCAGACTCCAGCCTTCACATCCCACTCCAGTCAGCAGTAGAGAGGAAGGAGCAGGATGAGCATGCCCTCTCCCTTTAAGGCAGGGTTTCTCAGTCTTGGTACTTTCGGCATTTGGGTCAGATGGTTCATTGTTGAAAAGGCTTGTACTGTACTGTAGGGTGTTTCGCACCATCCTTGGCCTCTACCCACTAGATGCCATGGTGACTTCCTCCTTCCCAGATTTGCAAATAAAAATATCCCCAGGTATTGCCAAATATTCCTGAGGGGTAGGAGGCAAAATCTCCCCAGATAGAGAACTCCTGCTTTTAGGTGACTTCCTGAAGCTGCCCCTGATTCCTCTGCTTACATGTCATTGATCAAAAGTTAGTCACACAAGTAGTGGATCTATAGCATCTCACTATGCTGATGGGCAGTGACTGTAATGGGCTATGTGGTGGGGACTTGATAATAGGGGGGAATGTAATAACCACAATGTTGTTCATGTGAAACCTGAGCATAAGATTGTATATCAATGATACCTTAATAAAAAAAAGAAAAGTTAGTCACAGAGGTAACTCTTAGCCAGAAGGAGCTGGTCTTTACTCTAGGTAGCCATGTGCTAACTAAAAATCAGTTCTATTATATTAGAAAGAAGGTGAGAAAAGATATTGGGAGACAATACAAGTGTAAGGACTCAGACAAACTTTGGCTACTTTGCCCCAGACCTCTGCTCCTAGCTACTGGTTAAGGATTACAGCCTCAAGTAGGACGATGTGTGGTCCCAACTACAGCCAATGGCATCTGGATCTTTGAAGTGAAGAATTTCCTCCCAGAGGTGAGCCTTCAGGTAAGAAAGTTGAACATTGAGTTGTCACTCATTGCCTTCCAGCATGTTGCCTTAACTCGGGTTAGGAGGCCGTTACAAAGCACAGTATTTCCTAATCGCCCTTGCTGTGGAGATCAGCTTTTTGCTTAATTTCCCATGATATGGCCCCAGTGTAGTTTCCTCACTCCTCTCTCTCATCTCCCTTCATCCTTCCTTCCCTTTAGGTGTGCTTACAAGATTAGATGTAGAATCAGGAGACCTGAGACCCGGCCTGCTCCTGCCACTACCGTAAGGTAACTCATTCAACCTTTCTGGCTTGAGTGTCCTCATCTGTAAAATTAGGGGCTGAAAAGATGCTCCTCAGAGTCCCCCCAGCTCTAAAGTGCTCCAGTTCTCTGAAGTCCACAGGATTGTAGGGAGTAGCAGAGAGGCCCTCTCTGATGAGTGGTGTCAAGACGGCCCCTGGCTGGGTCTCTGTCTGCCAGGCTCCCCTGCTGTGTAAAGTCCCAGCCTGGCAGATGCACTTAGATCCCCCCCACACACCACTGGCTTCAGACAGGCCTGCTTTGGATAAATGGCATACTTGTCTTGCTAAATCTGACCAACTCAAATCATGCCATATGTGCTCATTGCAAACCTGTCGCTGTGCCAGTCAGATGGCTCCAATCAGATGGTGCTCCCTGGACTCCCAGTTAAATGTTGAAATGGCCCTTGTAGTGGCACAGCTGGCCTTGAGAGGTGGTTTTGTTTCATTTTTCAGGTCCCCATATCCTGTTTAAATTGTTTCTCTAGTTAAAGTGTTTTCTTTATTTGTTCAATAAACACTTCTGTTATCGTGTAGGCCCCCAGAAATACAAAACATGTAAGTCACACATCCTCCCTCTCTGGAGCTGGCACTGAACATGGCCCCCTGGTGCTCTGCTGGCATCTCCTACCTGACTCCAGCCTTGTCCCTCTGCTGGCTACCTGGCTCTGCTTGGGTTCCTCCTGCCTGGCAGTCTGTTTCCCATGGAGGCTTTGCACATGCACGTGCTCGGCCTAAGCTGGGACCCTGCTCCTGCCACACACACACACAGCCCTACCTTTCTCCCTGGCCTGGCCATGCCCTCCTCATTCTTTAGGTTTCAGCTTAAATATTCCACCTTTAGGGAGACCCTCCCTGACTGTCCCACCCCACAATCCCAGTCTAAAGCACGCTGCCCTCTTAACTACCCCCATAGCACCCTGACATCCACCGTCTTGTAACTCCTCCTCAAGTGTCCTCCTTCCCAGGACCGTGAGCTGCCTGGAGGCACTGGGGAGCCAGGCCTCTCCATCGCTGTGGGACAGGACCTGGCAGACAGCAGGCCCTCAGCAAATGAAGCCTGACTGAATCTGTGGATGGACCAAGCTGTGAAGGGGAGAGACATATAGACAAATATACTCTGTCAAGTGGTACACTAGGCATGTGAGCAAGAGCTGGCAGGCAACCCAGTAGGAAGAGCCCCTCGCTACTGGGATAGGGACATGATGGGTGGGAAGGCCTCTCTGGAAATGTGTACTTGGTCTTGAAGTAGTAAGAATGAGACAAGTGAAGAGGAGAGGAAGGAGCAGTTGGGTAGAAGAAACGGCAAGAGTGAAGCCAGGAGGCAGGGTCTCTAGCATTTCCAGGGCACTGGGAGAAGTCAGTGGGGCAGAAAAGGAGCATCCAGGGACCAGTGGGGGAGCTCTGAGCTCCCAGCTGTGGCCGGCCTTCTCCCTAGAGCAGTGGCCAGCTCTTCCCTCTGCTCTGCCTCTCTCCACCTGCCCTCACCACCCCAGACACCTGGCTTGAGAGCTTTCAGACCTTTGGCTCTGGAGTCCTTAAGGTGTCAGGAGTTCCACTGGGCAGAATTCGCTCCTCCTTTCCCTCCCTCCTTCCTTTCTTCCTTCAGCTCTTCACCAAATTCAACTCATATTTACTGAGCTGCTTCTGTGTGTCAACAGATGAAATTGTTTGACAGAAAATTTTCTTCTCACTCTCTGAAAGTTATGGAAAATGAATCCAGCCCCAAGCCAGAGGTGGTTCCACTGGGCTGGAACTGTGGTTGAGGAAGCCAAGATGGGCTGGCACGTGGGCAAACAAGGGCAGAAACAGGCTCTGTTTGGATCCCAAGGCAGGCACCGATTTAGAGGGGCCGGATTAGCTGAGTTGCTAGGAAAAGAAATGGGACAAAGAGCAGAACAAGCCCCTTTTGTGTTGTGTGTGGGGTGCTCCTTAAATGACTCTCCTCTGTCCCCCGTGGCCTGAGGGCTGTTGAGAGTGCCCAGCCAGTGGGCACTGACTCCAAAGTTTTGGCTCTGGGGAAGGAGGCCGGCTGAGCTCAGGATAGAGAAAAGGGGCACCTTGAATCCCCACCAGAAGAGGCAGGCAGAGAATTCAGAAAGGCAGGGAGTGTGACCTTGTTTGCTGTCCACAAAAGAAATATTACTGCCACCTGCCAGGGTGACCTCTGGTTCTCTATATGAAGAGGCCCTTGTCTTTCAATGCCTTGGCTGCTTTCCCCTACCAGGGAGGAGCTTAGACCTGCAAAATGTATTACCTCCATGCAGGTAGGAGGGAGAATCTGCCAAGGGAGGCTGTTACTTAGCTCCTAAAAGCACAGCAGAGTGGGGCAGGATGAGTTGTGAAGGCCAAGCTGTTCCTGGTCCGCACACTGCAGGCTGGAGGTTGCCTGCTCAGGAGCTGCAGCCCAGTTGGGGGCTCAGACATGACGGCCCCGGGAGTGAGACTGCCTCCCTGAGGTTGACTTGGGGCCATCAGTTCAGCACTAAAATATTTTATCCTGTATTATTGAGTGAAGTTTCATGTGTATTGGCTCCCGAAGGTAGCCTTGGGTATTGAGAAAATGTCCTCCACTTATTTGTCACCCAGGGAATCCATTCCAGAGTGACTAAACCCACTGAGAGGTCCAGGTCACTTCTTGTGAATTGCTGGAGAACTGTGGAAGGGTTTAGCTCGGAACAAAGCCCAGGCATATGGCCTGCAGCCATGCCTCACAGCCTTCCCAGGGTTGGGGGGTGGGGGAGAGGGAGATTCTCACATGGCGAATGACTTCCTCTCAAGCCACCTGGGCGCAGGAAGAAGCACCAGAAGGAAACTTTGAATCCCGATTAAGTGCTTTTTTGATGAGACAAAAGAATTGAGGAGGAGGAAAGGCCCTGACAGGCAGCTTTGGACTCACGGAAGGCATGAAACAAAATGTCATCTGAGGAATGGGGAGAGGAGACACAGAGGTCAGTGTGACAGGAAGCCCTCGAGGAATAAAGCCAGGAAAAGCAGGAGGGAAAGAAGGCCACAAGGAAGGGCGGAGGACCCTCTGCGGGAAAGGTGGGAGAACAAAGGGGAGAGGGATGGTACATCTAAGCACGGGGGCCTGGATGAGGGAGAAGGACTTCCTGATTCCCGGTCAGTCTGTCTCCTCACATCCAGGGTTGCCATCTGAGGCCTGGAGAGGATACTGCCCCTTAGCCTCCAAGCTGGAGGGGCCCAGCCCAGCCCTCTCAGACAGATTTCCCTGGGCCTCGTGAAGGAGTCAGCCTCTGTCCGCCAGCCAGCCTTAGATGAGCCCCTGGCAGGCGGGCGACTGCAGAACATCACTTTGCAGAGACACAGTAGCACTGGGGATTCTGAGGCAAAGTGAGGAGAGGTTATTTTTGTCTGTATTGTTTTATTCTCTGGGAGCCCCAAACATCCTGGCACAGCCGGTTCCCAGGGCTAGTGCAGGGGCACATCAGGCAGGGAGTATGTACGAGGGAGGGTGGAGCTGGCCAGGCCCTGTGGGCTGCATCTGGAGTAACAGCTCAGGGTTCCTTTGTTCATTCAACAAAGATTTGTTGAATGTTAGTACTAAGAATAGAGCAAACAGGACAAAGTCTCTTATCTCTTGGATTGTAGTTCCACTCTAGATGGCATTCTAGTCAGGGGCGATAGACAGTGAACAGCAAGGCCCTTTGGTCCATAGGTAAACCAGCTTCTTGGCTTCCTGGCTTGTCTTCACTTGCCAACCAGGCTGAGGCTGCTGGGGACCAGGTCTTCTCGACTGGTAGTAACAGTGCAGGGCAGAAACACAATCAATACTTTTGTGTGTCGATACTAACTTGATTTTGTACATTTTCTGCATTTTTTTCCTTTCACTATGTCCAAAATAGTTAAAAATCCTGTCAGGGCTGAGCAGGAAAGGAAGGCTTCTAAGAGTGGACCCTTCCAGAAAGACAACTGCCCCCTAACTGGCCTTCCTTGCACCACTAACTCACCCTCCCACACTCCCAGAAGAAGCTTTAGAACCTGCTGATGTCATCATGTGATTCCCTGCCTTTAAGTTTTGATAAGTTTGTTAGGATACCTTTGACTCCTGAGAAATAAAAAGCTCTGGCTCAGCTGGCTTGGCCAAATAGACACTTAGCATCTCACCCATCAAGAAACCTGGGGAAGGTGGTACCCAGGAGGCAAATTCAGTGGCTCCAGGTCTGGGAGCCCAAGTTCCCCACTCCCTTCCGCTCTGCTATTCCCAGGCTGGATGCCTTCCAGGAAGCACGATGGCTCATGCACCCAGACACCACCGCACCTGGCAGCAGGAGAGGCATTTTCTCCCTGTGTATCTGTAACAGGAAAGAAAGTGTCCCCAAGGCCCCCAGTAGACTTGCCCTCAGGACCTGTGGGCCTCCTCCTAGCAAGGTAAGGCATGTCTGAGAAGCATAGGATTATAGGGGTGGGGGTGGGGGTGAGGGTAGATTTCCTAACCAAAAAAAGGGGGTTCTGTTAGTCAAGGAGGCAGAGGTCTGGCGACTAGTTGATAGGTAGGTAACTACAGGTGTCTGTTACAGATGATTTCCTCTTACTTGTAGGAAAAACTCAAACTCAGTAGCAGGACAGCAACGTCTTTCATGAGCAGGTCCCTGCCTGTTTCTGGGCTAATCTTTGCCAACAATGCTCTGCTGCCTTTCCCTGGCCATATCAGATACTGCAGTGACCTGAGCTCGCTTTGTTCTGATGCCTCTGCACCTTTGCCCGAACTGTTCCTGACCTCCCCACCTTGTTCTCGCAGCCAACTCTTCCTCTATTACAACCCTGCTCAAGTGCACATATTCCCAAAAGCCTTCCCTGGCCCCTAATTGAATTAGAAGCTGCTCCTTTGCAACTGGCTTAGTTATAGCACACAGGTGCAATGGTTAACCACACAGGCTCTGAAAGCAGACTGCCTGGCTCAAATCCCAACTCTGACACTTACTAGCTGGGTGACCTCAGGCAAGACACTTAAACTCTCTGAGGAATCCAACTGATTCTTCTTCTATAAATGGGCATAATAATGATAAAAGTAGGTCTAGAAAGAGTATGTGCACTATTGGGTTAATGTGAGGATTATAAGGTACGTAAAATGCTGAGCACAATAGCACATCAAAAGTACTCAGTAAATGCTAATTCTTGTTAGTGGGTGGTGCTTATTATATTAATAATAATATCTGTATTATTATACAGTGTGCTAGAATGTGATTCTGAGATACCTGGTCACTTTTCAAAAGGCCCTAACATGGCACCACCCAGTATCTGCATCTTGAAGGGTAGGCCCTACAGTCTTTGGGGCAGTGGTCTTCAGTATAGGAAGACAGTTTGGTGTGTACTGCAGACATTTTTGAAACCTCTTTTACCACCACTCCCTGAGCTTTCCCTGCATCCTGAGGTCTGTCTCTCGAGAAATTCAAAGCAACCGCCCGTGATTTCACAGAGGTCACTCCTGGCCCTGCCCTTTATCATTTTCATCCCCTGGGCATGGGGATTGGAGGAGGCTGTGCTCTTGACCCCTGCAGAAGACCCTGCTTCTTATCTCTGAACTTCAAAGGAGTCCAGGTGGGAAGATCTTTGGGGAAATCTGGGGGATGACAGCAGAACCACCCACTCCAGACCCCTCAGTGTTGGAGAAAAACCTCAGTGATGCAAATGATGAACGCAAGGTTCAGTCACGACTATTGGTACTTGTCTCAATTTCTGCAGAAAGTGAGGTCCTCCTGGACTCTGGGTACTCATGTCATCTTCAATTATATTGGTGGGTGTTCCGGATTTGGGGTTAACTCTTTAAAGGCCTAGTGAAGTCGCAGGATTTGTGATATGTGAAAAGATACACCCAGAAGTAAGAAGTAGTTTCAAAGGACTAACTTTTCAGCATCTGCCTGGATTTCCTTTGTCAGTTGCAAAAGTCCATTATTTAATTGGGTTATATTTTAGGATTAAGATTTCAATCCAGTCTTGAGCAGTTACCTTATTCCTACAAAAAAAAAAGAGCCAGCAAACAGGTTAGAGTAGGGAGCAACCTGTGTATCTTTCACTAAGGCAAGATGGACTTTAGTAGCAGAGTTGGGGGAATGACCTGGGGAGGTGCTCCCTGCCCCAAAGTATCTCCCCTGTGACTTGAGCCCTTGCCTGTAGTGCCCCCATTAGGGAGTCATCCTTAGGGCTAACACGCTGGTCTCAGTTCATAATCTATCGCTGGCTCCCAGTGCATGAATTATTTAGCACAATCATCTCACACCAACGGCGCAGGGAGCATATCATTATAGCAATAATTTCATTGGTGACTTTCTATTTAGAAATTACTATAACAAACATTTAGTCACTATTTTTCTGTTTAGGAAAATATCTCACATACAATAATACCTATCTAACAATTATTTAGCACTTATTATATACCATACACTGTTTTAAGTGCTAACATTCATTTGATTACTGGAGAATCTTATGGAACTGTGTTCCAAGGTCACATTATTTGAAACCACAGCTCCTCACCTTCCCATATATTCCCTTCCATAGCACTTATCACTCTCTGACGTACTATATATTTACTTTATTCCTTGTCTGTATCTCTCCACCAGAATGAAAGTCTCCTGATGGTGAGGATTTGTTTTATCCCTGGCACCTAGAACACTGTCTGGCATATTATAGGTCCTCAATTGAGTTGATGAATCACTAATAGTATTATTTTCCCCATGTTACAGATGAGGAAATTGGTGCCCCAAGTGGTTAAGTAGCTTGCTCAGATCATAGCCAGGAAGTAGCAGAACTGGGACACAAAACCAGGCAATTGGGCCCTGGAGACACATGACAGCATTAGACTGTTAGCCCAGGGGCACAACCTGACTAGCAAGGGCAGGCCTGAGCTGGGGAGTGCTGTGTGGCAGGGTTTTTGTGTGTCAATGTGTTCAGCTTGTAGGCAGGAGAGGAAGGCCCTGAGTGGAATGTGGGAGACACTGAAGATGAATGTCAGCTCCTTTACACTGTGCTTTAGTCCTACCTTGGCTATGAGTGCTGGTATCAACCTGGTAAGAATATAATCACACGGAAACCAACAAATATTTACTGAACCTCTTTTGTGTACAAAGTACTGAGTTACTTGTTAAGACATGTATCCCAAAGTATAAAAATGAGATACGTGGCACTCAAAGAGTTTATAATCTAATTCTGCAGACAAAGCAGTAATCAACACTCAAACAGCCAAGTCAGCAGTGTTAAGGGCGTCATAAATGGGTACATCGTTAACAGCCAGCCCAGGGGCCAGAGAACTAGCACTTCATCTTAAGGGAGAGAGCAGTCTTTAAGGGAGCTTCATGGAGAGAAAGAGGCAGCCCTGGCAGAGTGGGAGGGCTGGGGAGGCTTAGGCACAGGGAATGGGAATGGTGAGGAAGCAGGAAGCCGGGTGGGACAGGAGAATGCCTGAAGTGGAAAGTGCTATGAGTCAGTGCCACAGAGGGTGTGGGAGGTAACCAGAGCCAGTGAGTGCAGAAGGACCCCTGGGCTGGACGTGGGAGAGCAGGAGGTAAAGAACAAAGGAGGGTCAAGCTGTGGAGGGTTTTGAAGGCTAGGATAAAGAATGTGACATGGAGCTTATATGAATAGATAAGTTCCACCTTTAACTTGAAAGCAACACCAGACAGGGGAGGAAAATAAAAAGGGAATAAAAATGGAAGTGCTGCCGAAGGGGACATGGGGAACCAAGGGAAGGCTGGAGGACTTAATGGCTAAGGGCACAGGCTTTAGAATCAACCTGAGTTCCAAATTCCACCTCTGCCACTCCTCAGTCATGTGAAGGGCCCAAGGTCGGCAGCCTCTCTTGGGACTTATTTCCTCATGTGCAGCATGAGGGGGGAGAAAAACCTATTTTGCTAGGTAGCTGTGTCATTAATCTAATAAGATAATAAGATAACATATCTAAAGCACTAAGCACAGTGCCCCATAAATGGTAGGTTTCAAAAGCCATGGATTAGACCCATTGGGACCATGTAGCTCTGGGCCCCAAGAACCAGAAAGCAAGGCCAGACCTGCTGGCTCTTCCTGGAGGAAACCCCTGTGGGCCCTGCTTGGATGCCCTGGCATTCATTCCTTCCTGCATATATGCTCACTCTCAGATAAGACTAAATAAATCTGTAGAACCAGGACAGGAAGCTGGAGATACCATAAAGTTACAGCAGGGATTCCTACTGGCAGGATGGTGGTGGTTTATCAGGATATGGAGGGGCCAGGGAAACAGATGGCCGAGGAGTAAATGTTGTGGAACAATCAGGAAGGTATTGCCCTCCTAGGCTCTGGACGGACAAACGAGTTCTATTATTATAGCCTCTTTTTGGTTCTTTAATGTACTGTTTGCTTGCCTGGCCCTGAAGGCAGTTTCAGGACTTCAGCAAAATGCATGTTAGCACCTGTTTGTGTAATTATAGCTAAGATAGTTAAGGGGATTTTGTTTGTTCTATCTTCAGTTTTGTTGCATTCCTGAATATTTCAGCCCCAGCTATGATGGTTGTTTTGACATTGTCAATCAAGAACTCAGTCAGCAACAGTTTAAACGCCTTTAATACTACCATCGACTGCCTGTCTAAACAGTTTTCATTCTAAAGGATTTTATGAATTACTGATTAAAGTAAAGCTTGAAATTGCAGCATAATTTCAAAGTATTGCTTGGGGATATAGTCACAAGAAAACGAACTCTATTCTCTTGTTAATTCCTGACAAGAAGCTATGTTACAATGGTGGAATAAAGTAGGCCATGGTGGGCTTTCAGGGCAGCTAATTTCTTATATATGTCTAATGTGAGCCAGGTGTCACACTAGGTTCTGGGTGTAAAATGGTGAGCAAGACAGTGTTGTCCCTCGTGGAATTTTCTAGTATACTTTCCCGATAACATTTAGCCCTTTGCATAGCAGGATGACCTAATTACTCACCCACTTGTTCTTTGAGAAGTACCACTCACTGCATTGTGCATGCTCCATTCTCATTCTTCCCCAGCACCTTGTGTTTGGAGTGTACACACGAATGAGGAAGCAGGGCAGGTGTGCATTGGACCAGTATAAAGTCAACACAGGCCCTGACCGTGGTGGCTTAATCTGCACTCTGTTCTACCCTGCTCCTCACCAGCTGGAGACAAACAGGAGCGCTCCCTAGTAAACCAGTGTACAATTACGTTATAAAGTGACTCCTTATTCGTGTTTCTGGCCCAAACATGTTCCTGATACATCTGTTGGTGTGTAGGTCATCTCTATGTAAATGGTACATGGGCCTTTCCACGTTTGATTTCACTTTCCCCTCAGAAGAGGCCTGTGAGGCAGATGAATCAGGCAATGGTATCTCCCAAGGGTGAGAAGGGACTTCCCTCTGTCATGTAGATGAGGGAAAGCTGGCAGGCCAGCCAGGCACTCGGGCCAGGGCTGTGTCCCTACACTGCCAGTGCCTTCGGGCCTGACCTCCCACAGCCTAACCTGGGCACTGGCTTCACAAAGTGAAGTTCGTTTGTTAGGCAACATGTGCTAAGCACCCATCTGTGTGACACTTTCTCCTCTGAGCAGGCCCAGAACTCCATTTGCTGAGTCACTAGTTCTCAAGAATCCTAAGATCCCAGGAACGTGAAGACCCCACAGACGCTCCAGAGAATGGTTCATGTTCACCCCTACAGATGCCTCTCCCTAGAAGAGTAAATTGCTTAAGAAAACTAAATTCCATGGTGAGAAATAATTCTCTCTTGTCTCTCTTTCTTGGTCTGCTTATTTCTCACAATTCTCCTTCTCTGAGCTTCTCTGTAGGGCCTACAAAATGAATCTCTCTGTTGTCCTGGGACAGCATTCAGTGAATATAATGCCATAAGGAGGAGACTGTGGGTCATGTGGGAGCTACTGAGGGTGGCTGAGTTGTGTGGGACATGTAAAGCCTGCCTCAGAGGCACAGGGATCTCATTTGTAATGTAATTGCTGCTCTGCTTATTTGCCTCACCCTGTGAACTGCAAGCTCTGTTAGGAAGTGTGCACCTGCTCTCCACCAGCCCCGCTTCAGAGCCTGGAGTATAATTGGTGCTCAATAAATATTTATTCAGAGTAGGAAAGGAGGCAGGCAGGCAGAAGAAATGTGTGTAGGGGTGCAGGGGGCACACCTGACCTGCGAAGGACACAAAGAGAATGCGGAGAGAGACCTAAGGTCCTGGGAAGAAGTTTGCACAATTGCCCGGGGTCACTCCAGGAGCAAGCCCGCCCGCCATAAATGTGCTGGGAGCGCAGGCGCTTGCTCAGCCCCAGCGCTGGTCCCGCCCGGGGTGTCAGCAAGCCCCACCGCAGTGCGTGTGGGGCAACGGCTGGTGCAAACCCCAGCGGTGACCCCCAGATGGATTCCCAGGGCAGAAACACTGCAGGCAGGCCTCCCCAAGTTCCTTCACGACACTCCCACAGGAACCTGCTGTTCTTGGAAGCCTCAGGTAAGGCAGCTCTGCCCACGGCAGCCGCACACAGGACCCTTTGCAGGCTTTGCGGGTAATGAATGTTAGTCCCGAAGGGCGGCATTGACTCTCAGGGACCCTCTGGGGCTGGGCCTGTGGAGGAGTCCTAGCAGCCCATATAGACATTATCTTAAAATAACACCACATGACCACCTGCAGGACCTTTCACATTCAACCATCTTGTAAGGGAAGCAAAGCAGGGACTGTCAGCCTCTTTTTACAGATGAGAAAAACAAGGTTCGTTATATAAGGCTGAAAAGCTTTTCCAAGATCTCACAACCAATAAATTGCCAGGGTCTGTACCTCAGGGCTTCTGGCGTCATCAATCCTAGCAGCCGAGGCATAGCTGTTGCAATATTGAAAGTGGTCCGCAGAGGGCAGCCGTCACAAAGGGGCTGTCTCCTGACTTTCAGCGGCGCAAAGCTAACATTTACTACCTGCCACAGGACGCGCAGCCGACGGCGTGGACCCCCAGATAAGCTGTCCGAAGAAGGTTGCAACGTCGTCTCCTGTGATTATCCTGCCCCCCAAAAAGCTTACCTAAATCTAATGTCCTGAAACACCAGATAAACTTAAATTCAGGGACAGTCTACCAAGTAACTTGCTAGTGACCTTCGAAAATGTCAAGGTGAAAAAAATCAGAGAAAGGATGAGGAACTGTTCCAAATTCAAGACCAAACATGACAATTAAAGGTAATGCATGACTGACCTTTGATAGGATTCTGGGCTGGGAAAAAAGTAATAGATGCAAAGGACATTATTGAGACAATTGATGAAATTTGAATTTGGACTGTGGTTTAAATAATGGTATTCTATCAATGTTAAGTTTCCTAAAGTTGGTCATTGTACTGTATCCATCTATGAGAATGTCCTTGTTCTTAGAAATATTTAGGGGCACACAATGTCCCTAACTTATTTTTAAAAGGTTAATAAAAATCCAAATAACACCATAAAAGACATGCAGTAAATTATAAGTGATGGGTAAATCTGGGGAAAAGGTACATGCAATTTTCTCATACACTATTTGCAATTTCTCTGAAATTTTGAAGTTATTTCCAAATAAAAAGTTACAAAGCAAAAGGAAAAAAGAGGCTCTCCTAGCTCTCCAGAGTTTGGGTCTTGTGGTAACCACACCTGATTCCGCCCTTACGGGGGGTGGGGAGCATGGAGACGCCTCTTTTCAGTTAAAGTGGCTTCAGCCTCTCTGAAGCCCCTGACCTTTGTCCGGAGCTAGCCAAAGGGGCTGCACAAAACTCACCTGATAACAGACCCTGACCTGGAAGATGGCCTTCGCTGCAAATGTTTTGAGAAGACTGAATGTAATTCTTGCCTATACATACATGAAGGAGGAACAGTGGACCTGGCTGAATTGCAGAATGGAGCTCAAGGCTCCACCTTTCAGGAGGGACTGGGGACTACAGTGAGCAGCATTCCAGGGCCTGTGAAACACAGAAAACAAGTGTGATTTGGGGGCAGGTGTGACTCACCTACAGCCTTGATGGGGCACTCCTAGAAGATAAGACTGATAGACTGACTGAGCAGGGGAAAAATTAACAGTAAAAAGATATGTTGAGGAGCAGCCATTAAAAGGGACACGTGGTGGGGGGGTAGAAAAAGCCCCTGGGATTGTGTCAAGTAGATCATTAGAATCACCTGGAGGACTCCCTCCACCTACCCCAGAAGCCTGACTCATTTAGGCTGGGAGGACACTGAGGAATTACATTTCTAACACTATCTGGTGCAGCTGCTCTGAGCCATATGTTAAAGTGCAATGGCATAGCAGGTGATTGTCTCCAGCCTACTTTAGAGGAATCACGAGAGCTACAACCAAGTATTCTACGAGGTCCAGGGGTGACTGGGGTCACTTCTGGCTGGGCAGTGGAATTAGGGACAGACAGTATCATGGATGAAATGCCACTTAAACTGGGTTTCAGTGGAGTTGGGGTACAGCAGGGTCTTCTAGGAGAGGGAACTGCACACCAGCAAAGAACAGCCCAGCCCAAGGTCATCATTTGCTTTCCCCGTAGGACTAACTGGTCCAAAATCAGGTGAGGGGCCTGAGCACCAGGTCAGGAGTTTGAACTGTGTTTGGAGCCAGTCAGGGCCTCAGAGGGGAGATGTGACCTGAGGCAGGGCTTTCAAAAGATGACCAGGCAGAGATATGGGAGAGTGGACTGGGGGAGGGGGAGATTGGAGGTGGGAAACCAGATAGGAGGTCCCATTAATAGGAATCACAGGAGATAAGAGCACAGCAGTGAGTGTCGAAAGCAAGCGAGTTTCATTATAGCTAAGTGAGGGACTGAGTTACACAAAGAATCCATTTGTCCTCTTAGGCTTTTGGCCTAGAGTTACCACCAAAATTGATGTGAAGCACTCACGTCTGCAAAGGTATATATTTTTTAAATCCATTAAATATATTTAAAGAATGTTTAGAACTGAAAATTAAGTGTGTTTTCACATGAACATCTTTAATAGTCTTCCAGGCAGGAAGTGGACAGATGGAAACAGTGATATGCTAGTAAATATTTAACAACAGGCTGGGAGTACAGGAGAGCCCTGATTGATAGCATTTGTCAATTCCCCTGCTGTGGAATCCTCCCACAATGGCTGATTTCAAGCTACCAACATGATGTCAGTCAGCTTGTAAAAGTCTGAAAAATAGAGCAATCTGCTCTTAGGAGGCCAGTATGAGCAAGCTGGCTCTAGCACACTCCTGAATGGAGACCAAATGCCAGGAAATGGATGGAGTCACTAAGGCAAGAAGTGATCACTTCTCAGCATCTGTCCAAGGACCCAGAGAGAAACCCACAGGCCTAATGGCTTCGAGCTGCAAGCACTGAGCTTCATGTAACCTCAGCTCTTCCCCCATAATGGCAAAAGAGTGGCAAATGGGAGAGGTGGGATTTGTTCCAGGGTCCCCCATTCCAAGAGGATCATTTCACATGATAGAAGCATAAAGGAGAAAGCCTTAACACTACGTGGAAGGAGACCAGTTACAGTCTCTGCTACTTAGTAGCCTGTGCTTATCTGCCCTGAGCCTCAGTCCCTCGTTTTTAAAATGAGGATAGTTGCTAATGATGTCCCAGCAGGATGCATAGCCTGGAAACATTTAACACTTGTCAGAACTTCATTCCTCCCTCCCCTTCTCGCCAAAGCGTTCTGCAGAACACTCCTCCCGCCTGCAGTTTATGCTGGCCCAGCAGCCCCGTGCTCCCATCCTGAGGACCATCACTCGCATGGATCCTGGGGGCCGTGTTCGCCTGTCAGTCACAGAGAGAGGCAGAGGGACAGAACTGCCTGTGCTCCTTCCAGCCTTCTCCACCCTGCTTTGGCCCTTGTGAGCTGCACTTCCTGACCTGGGATTCCAGTGTTTTTCCCATCATTTTTTCCCTTTGGTTTAAGATTAAGATTCTGTTACCCATAATCCGAAGAACCTGAGACACCCTAATTATTTCCCTTTTAAAATCCTGGTATAGACAAAAGACTGGGAATCAGACCTGGGTTTTGACTTTGAGCGAATGACTTAGCTTCTTTGGGCCTTGTTTTCTCATCTCTAAAGTGAACAGATGAACAAAATGAATCCAAGTGAATCCCAGCTCCGATGGGCAGCTCTATTCTATGTGTCTTTATCCTAACACGGAGTATGTCGTTGTGAAACGCCCATCTATTCCATTAGTCACAAATCAGTTTGCTTTGAAGACCAGAGACCTTCACAGTTGGACAGAGTAGGGTAACTCCCAAGCCACTCCTTTTTGGGTCCAAGACATGGATGAGAGCTCAGCTGGCTCAGCTCAGTGGTTGTAGATGCTTCTGGAATGCTTAAAGCTGGTTTTTTGTGTTTTGTTTTTAATTATAAGGGTAAAAAACTAATTGCTATGGAAGATGTATACATGTATAAATTATGGAGAAAATAAAACAATCTGTTATCCAAAGACCCAGAGATGACTTCTAACGCTAGTTTGATTCACATCCCTCTCACTTTTTGCCATTATATTCCACACAGTCATCTCAACTGCTTAGCTCAGAAATTTCTTATTAAAGATTTAAATGAGTAATGCATGCAAATGGCATAAGTTCAAATATTACCAAAGATTTTATAATGAAAAGCAAGAGTCACCTGCCTCATCTCCCCCCATCTTCCCCTTGGTCTTGCTCCCCTGAAACAAATTTTAAACATTTCTGTTTGGAATTCATTTGGTGGTTACCTCTGTATTTTAAAATAAGATACTACTTATTAATTTAACATGTAGCACTTTCTATTGACTTCTATTGTGACAGGTGACAGGTGAGGAGTTAGTTCACTTCTATCCCACTCCTCCTCCTCTCTCCACTCCCCTAAATATAGCTAAGTCACTATTCAGAGCTTGCTCTGGTCTCCTCTTCAACTTCAAAGAATGAAAACCCCCCATTTCCTGTTCCATCCACTGCAGGAGGACCCCTCTATCCCTCACTCTCTGTAAGGTAAGGACAGGGCACCCATCTTTTCCTTCACCTCTTTTCCTTTCCACTTCCTAACTTCTGTCAGCCTGTCCTGTACTTTTATATTTTGTTCTGAAATCATTGTTGTTTCTGTTTATCTAAGATTGATTCTAAGAGTTAAAGTCCAGAAAATGATATTTATTTTATTTTGGCTATGTCAGTATAGTTCACAACCAATCAAAGTAGTGAACTAGGATTACCTTTCTCTATGGAACCAATGTCCCTACTCAATGAAGAATGTTTCTGGAACAAATTTACTTCATTTGTTTACATTCCACCAATTTCCTTTATTGTAGCCTCATATCATGTTTTCCAAGCTTTCAATCATGTTATTTTTCTGTTTTACTTCTCTCCTTTTCACCTCTCCAAAACCAAACCAAAACAAAACAAAACAAAAAACAGAAACCTCTCCCTGTAGCTCTCTACCGTGCTCTGCCTTCCTGCTCTTGTTTTCTCTGGGTCTGCAGCTGGTTCCTTTCACTGTTTTCAATGATTAGAGGTGCTCTTTGCAAGACTCCCTAGCTGCTTCTTTCTTAGTGTACACTCTCACTTTGCTAGAGCCTGTCCTCAGGTAACCCCCCAGGGGTAAACTATACAGGAGGTAAAATTCAGAATACTTTCCTACTGCAAATGCCTTTATTCTGTTTTCACTTGATTCATAAATGGATGGTACATAAAATTCTGGGTCAAACCTCAAATCCTTCAAGTTTGGATTATTCTTGAATCTTTTGGCATCCTTTTTTTTTTTAATGTTCTTTTGCTGGTTTTTTAAATTATTAAGGTATCATTGATATACAATCTTATGAAGACTTCACATAAGCAACATTGTGGTCACTACATTCATCCATGTTACGGAGCCCCCCAGCCCCCACCGCCACCACAATCACTGTCCATCAGCATAGCAAGATACCATCCGTTCTTTATTCTTGGTGTTCTGAACGTTGTCAATGATTATGACTTAGGTGGATCTTTTTTCATTCATTTTGCTGGGGAGTCATTGGGCCCTAGCAATCAAAGACATGCCCTTCTTCATTTTAGAAAATTATTTATTGCTTTTCTTTTATAACTTCTTTTTGCTTTAACTTTTTCTGGTTTTGGAATTTCTGTTATTTAGATCTCAAACCTCTAGATCACCCCTTTCTGCCTTTCGTCCTTTCTGTCATATTTTGCATTTGTTTTAAAATCTAAAAATCTGTACCTATGAGATTTTTCAACTTCATCATCTAACCTTATTATTGTTATTATTATTTTGGCAAACATATTTTTAAAGAACTCTTTCTTGCTCTCTGTTTCTTTTTCATAGCATCCTTTATTTGTTTTACCACTGTGATTTATGTTCCTAGTTGTTGCTAACAGTTTTACACGTTATTTGCTTAATCCTTTTCTACTCCATGAATTGTATCTGTTTCCTCTAGAATCATGTTTACCTGTTGGCTTATTTTTTCTTAATTTTTCCTGTGGCCAACTTGCCTCCATGTCTGTTTGCTCTTGTTTTTCATTTCTATGTAAGGCTTTATATTTC